ATTTTCCTTACAGACATGATGAATATATCTATAGAAAGCTTTCAATGACTAACGAACGAAATAATTCAAATAAAAACTCATTATGTAATCCAAGATGCATTTCTTTCTAAAGGCGCGTCCAATGATGAGATGGCGAGTAAGGATCATCAATTTAATCTTTGCGACACTGACTCAGAAAACACTAGTTTATTAATAAATAATTCAAATATCTCCGTACTATTTTCCCCCAACATAGTCATGGTAACTTTTACGGCAAGCTTTAGCCTATTTAGCGCGCTCACGTCACGCGGCTGTGCGCCATGGTCACGAAAACTCATCATTTGCATGCATTTTTAAGCATTGTGGTTTAAAAACAAGTGATTGAAACGCAAAAAAACAGCACTACATGTTCAAGCTGTCTGTTTCTGAGCGTGATTTCTGCAATTGGGTCGGATCGAGGTCGGGTCATATTCACACCTTAAACGACCAGTACCAGAGTTAGTTCGGAAGCGGACCGAGACCACCTCTTCAGCTGGGTCTCGGTACGGTTGTTTGGTCCGCACCAGAGTGCGATTGCTGTATTCACACCTGCCCAAAAGATCCGCACCAAGAGGGGAAACGAACTTGAGTTTGATTCAATCGAACCAAACAAGACAGTTGTGAATACACCCCAAGTCTTTCTGCTCCAATTTAAACCTTTTTAGGTCTTAATCAGTGGGTTTTGGCTGTAACTACATTTATTGCTGCATTAGATATTACATGGCACATACAAATTAAACAATCAACAACATAATATCTAGGGATGCACCGATACCGATACTGGTATCGGTATCGGGCCCAAAAATATTGGTATCGGTACTAGGAATCGACAAGAACCAAAAATAAAGTATCGGTATCGGGCGAGTACTGGAAAAAGTGGTATCGGTGCATCCCTAATAATATCATTAACACAATATAATAAAAACAAACATTTTATAAAATTTGACATACAAAAAGACAACATTAAGCACAACTCTATTAAAGTAAAAAAAAAAAAGCACAACTCTTTATTTTAAGGTCCAATTCTCACTATTTACTAACTATTAACTATGACTTCTGCATCAATAAATTCCTAATTTGCTGCTTATTAATAGTTAGTAAGGTAGTTGTTAAGTTTATGGGGTTAAGATGTCTAGAATATGGTCATGCAGAATAAGGCATTGAGATGTGCTTTATAAGCACTAATAAACAGCCAATACGTTAATAATAGACATGCTAATAATCAACTAGGTTATAGAGAGAACTGGTCCCTAAACTAAAGTGTTACTGAAGATTCTTTAAATGTGCTTGTGATAAAAATTGTCCTTAATTTGTGGAAGCCTTTAAACGGCAGAAACCCTGTCTAAAGGCCTTTTCACACTGCACGCGAAATTCGGCGCGATGACGCTGTTAAATCAAAACAATAGATCCCTCTGGGGCTATTCACACCAGCCGCGATCATTCGTGGCACGAAAAAGCGAAGATTTTTTAATTTCGTCCTGTGTGTCGATTTATTCCCTGCCGCTCTGCGACGAAACGGCCGTCCAATCAGATTTGAGCTTAGATCACGTGCGTGGAGCAGCTGCTGTTGCACAAAAAGGTGAGAGCGGTGGCGCTGTTTCGAAAACCAGTGTAAACAAATTTAAACAGATTTCTTCTCACATGTTCTTAATATAATTTCCATTAATTCTCCACTGAATCATGTGATCTGGAGAGCACGGTCCGTTTTCTTCCAAGTGCGCAATTGTTATAAGTCAGAGTGTGTTCACGCTCTAGATTTTCCGTATTAAAAAAATCGAGTGAAACATTTTTCTACACATGAAATATGAAAGCAAACGGACATGATTATGACGATATATTTCTGTATGTGTTCTGTATGCAGCTCATTGTATTTTTATAACAAAGGATGTTTATGACAATAAGCAGTGTGGCGTTAAACATACTAAACATATTAAACATACAGTACAAAGAGTGCATGTCTGCCTATTATAGAATCAAAATCAACAATAGATCACAATCGGAAGATATTACAAGCACTTGATGATGGTTTAAAGTGGGTTTTAAGCAAATACATTAAGTTTTCAAATATGGCTTGATGCTAATTGTACTTCTGTTTATACTTTATCGACAGTCATAATTACGTTAACACACAGGGAAAATGTGTAATGGACGCCTCGCAGATACAAAAATAACGTTTTATGTTTTCATTAAAAGACAGTTAACATTAACGTCGGCGAACGTTTTTTACAATAGTGCTCTCATTATAACGTTATGTATATGACAGTAGTTATTAATGTTCTGCATTTCTGTTTTGAGCTGCGCGCGCTGAAGATGACCAGTAGAATGAAGCAGCAGGTTTTTAATCAATGGGACTTAACTCATCATTTATCTCATATAGAATACGCTTCGTTATTTATACAACATAACGTTATTATTACGACTTCTAAGCTATCTGCACAAAATGCCCCGAATGCACATGAACGTATCTGCGCGGCTCTGAATGAACTCCTTTTGTGGAC